GGCTTTTTTGGTGGGTATGAGTTTGTAATTTTTTTTAAATTGTGTGTGTGTGTGTGTGTGTGTGTATGTGTGTGTGTGTGTGTGTACAGGCCAGAGGACGACCTTGGGTGTTGTTCTTCAGTGTTTTTCACTTTTTTTTAATCAAGATTTGAATTTTTATTATTTTTGCATATTTTCACTATTTTTCTATTCATTTTACAGATGAGAAGACTGAGGCTCAAAGAGGATTCATGCCTCATTCAAGGTCACATGCTAGTAAATGCCAGGGCTGAGATTTGAACCCAGCACTCTGATTCCAGAGTCCTCACTCTTACCCAGTCTATCTGTCATCCTCTGTTCCTTAATGCTGCCACCAAATATTTTCAGTTCTTCCTTTGGCACATGATAGATAAGTCTCCTCTGCTTCCCTTTAGCCAGTGAAATGTGAACAGATGTACTCTGCCTCATTTCTGGTGGAAATTTGACGTCCGTCATCATAGTCATGTTCCCCTTTGTTACGGAAGCACGGTGATGTCTCCCCCAGCTGGAGTCCCTGAGGGTGCTGAGGTTATCTACTGCTCAGGACGTGCAGAGGTGTCTCTGTCTGTCTCTCTCTGTCTCTTTGTGTCTCACACACGTATTCTCTATCTCTGTCTCTCTGTCTCTCTCTATTTTTGTCTCTCTGTCTCATACACACACAGAAATGTCAAGATGGAAAGAGAAAGGCCACAAACATGGATGGGACACGGACAGTCTGAAGGGGCTGGTGGAACAGTGTGTGGCCTGTTCTTGCCCTGCACTGATTAATACACCTAGGTTCCTGATGTGAGAATTCCCTCCTTGGGGAGATGCGAACACAGTCTACCCCCTTCCTCATAAGGTCCCATCAACAAATCAAAGTATGAGTCTGCCGGCGTTCACCCTGGAAACCAAGTTACCTACAATTGGCTGACCTACAGAGCATGGGTGAGAGTTTGCCGACAGAAGTGTGGGGGGCCCCAAAGCAACTGCACTGGAAAGCCTTCACCCAGCATGGACGATGGCTTCCCATAGCCGGATAGATGGAGCTCCCTCCATTAAGAGTTTCTCGCCTATCTACTCTCATCCCACTGGAGACCCCTGTGTATGTGTGTGTGTATGTGTGTGTGTGTGTATGTGTGTGTGCGTGTGTATATGTGTGCGTATGTGTGTGTATGTGTGTATGTGTGTGTGTATGTGTGTGTGTGCGTGTGTTTGTGTGTATGTGTGTGTATGTGTGTGTGTATGTGTGTGTGTGTGTATGTGTGTGTGCGTGTGTATATGTGTGCGTATGTGTGTGTATGTGTGTATGTGTGTGTGTATGTGTGTGTGTGTGTATGTGTGTGTGCGTGTGTATATGTGTGCGTATGTGTGTGTATGTGTGTATGTGTGTGTGTATGTGTGTGTGTGTGTATGTGTGTGTGCGTGTGTATATGTGTGCGTATGTGTGTGTATGTGTGTATGTGTGTGTGTATGTGTGTGTGTGTGTATGTGTGTGTGCGTGTGTATATGTGTGCGTATGTGTGTGTATGTGTGTATGTGTGTGTGTATGTGTGTGTGTGTGTATGTGTGTGTGCGTGTGTATATGTGTGCGTATGTGTGTGTATGTGTGTATGTGTGTGTGTATGTGTGTGTGTGTGTATGTGTGTGTGCGTGTGTATATGTGTGCGTATGTGTGTGTATGTGTGTATGTGTGTGTGTATGTGTGTGTGTGTGTATGTGTGTGTGCGTGTGTATATGTGTGCGTATGTGTGTGTATGTGTGTATGTGTGTGTGTATGTGTGTGTGTGTGTATGTGTGTGTGCGTGTGTATATGTGTGCGTATGTGTGTGTATGTGTGTATGTGTGTGTGTA